AGGCAGATAGCAAAATGGCTTAGGTCAGGGGTGGGGAACCTGTGGCCTCGAGTCCACATATGGCCCTCTAGGTCCTCAACTGCAGTCCTTTGACTAAATCCTAACTTCACAGAACAAATTCCCTTAGTAGAATAATTTATTCTGTAAAACTTGGACTTAGTCAAAAGGCCACACCCAAGGACCTAGGAGGCTACATGTAGCTTTGAGGCCACAGGTTCCCCACCCCTGGCCTAGGTGGTTAGTGGCTACAATATGAAATGCCTTCTGATCTGTGGTGGGCTATATGTAGTAGGCTTAAATGAGTTTTCACCAATCAAGGCAGCTTAGGCCAATGGCAGGAATTCCAAAGGTAAATACTATTGGGGGTGAAGTGGGCAGGGGAGTTGGAATGGGGAAGGGTATGTGCATGTGGTGGGGAGAAGTGAGGCAGATAGCAAAATGGACTAGTGGGATGGCTGAATGGGATTTTGACAAGGTTATTTGTGAGATCAAGGGAATGTCACAGATAAAATTTACCTAGATTTTAGGAAAGCATTTGATAAATTCTTTTATGTTGTTTTGAAGTGATTTAATTAAAAGGAGGAGTACATTCATTAAGAGAAACATAGAGAATGAGAGATAGAATAATCCTACTGAATTCTCTGGTCAGTTCACATCCTGTTAGATTTTGGGTCAAACAGATTAGGAAGGATATTGATAAGTTAGTGTCCAAAGAATGATTGGATTGATGAAGAGTTTCTAAATCATGTTATATAGGGAACAGCTGAAGGAACTAGGTATATTTAGATAAGAGAAGAGAAGATTTAGGCAGGTTATGATAGGTGGCTTCAAAGATTTGAATGGCTGTCATGTGGAAGAAGGATTAGACTTGTTCTGCCTGTTCCCATAAGTTAGAGCTAAGAAATGTTGACTTAGGTTCAATGTAAAGGAAGGCTAACTTTTAGCAATTAGTGCTATCCCAAAATGGAATGGGCTGCACTTACAGAGGAATTATTTTTCCGAGTCCCACCAGCATCCCTGACCATAGTACTCCTTTCCTTGACTCCTTGTTGTCAATAACATAGGCCATCAGAGTCACAAACATCAGCTTCAAAGCATAACAACCGACCCCTTCATTCTTGCGAAAAAGCTGAATGAGACCCATTGAAAGAGCCAAAAGAGAGACCATTCCATATATTAGGTCCCATCCTTTTCATCAGTTGTGCTGGTGGGTATTCTGCATCTCTTGCAGTGGCTCACTCAGGGCCTGTGTGAGGGTTCCAAGAAACAATCCTTTTAATTAAAATATATTCAAGTACTCTTGCATACAAGCAGTTCCTTAGGCATTAAAAGCAATCAACAAGGAGGTCCCCTTCGATCTCAGAAACCCCCCCAACAGTCTTAAAATCTGCTCTTATACTCTTCTTGCCCACAGGGTCCACAGCTGGGTCCCAGACCAAACTACCTGGAAGCCAATTTAACCCATACTGTCCAACATTTCACCGCAACCTCTTTGCTCAGTAGTCCTAGTCCAGTGGGAGTATGTGTCGGTGTGTGGGGTTGTTAACTCACACTTCTAATCTTGTTTCCACATAGAATAATAATTCCAATGGTTTCTCATTTTAGAGTGAGGAAACTGAGACCCAGAGAGGTTAAATGACTTGCCCAGTAAATTCCAAAATAGGGTTTAAAATCCTAGTCTTTTGTCTCCAGAGACAGAACTACCTGCAGCTATTCAAATATTTGAAGGCCACTGTCGTGTTACCTGTGTTCTTTTCAGGCCAGGCATCTCCAGTTGATGTACACAGTCATAGAAGCTAAGAGCATCTATTATGTGCTAGGCACTGTGCTAAATGCTGGAGATAGAAAGAAAGGCAAAAGAGAGTTCTGGCTCTCAACAACTTTACAATCTAATGGGAGAGAAACACACAAACTATGTACAAATAAGATATAGAGAGATAGATGCATGGACAGATAGAGAGACACAGACACAGATAGAGATAGATGATAAATTGAAAGTAATCAAAAGAGGGAAGTTACTGGCATCAAGAGAGATATATGAAGGAAATGTAAAAATAATGTATTTATCTTTCAGCAAAACGCTTGACTAAGTCTCTTGTGTTATGCTTGTGGGTAAGATTTGCATTAGTTAGGTGGATATGAAACTAGTTGAATGACCAGATTCAATGACTAATCTTTTAAAGGGACATTGTCACTTTGATTGGAGGTCTCTAGTGAAATGCTTCAAAGATTTGTCTTTGGCCCTGTTTTGTTAAATATTTTGACAGTGACTTAGATGAAGTCATAGCAAATAGTTCCTGTAAAAAAAAATTATAGGACCATAGATCTGGAATGAAAGTGACTACAGAGGTCATCAAGTCCAAACTGAGGCACCCAAAAGTTAAGTGACTTGCCCAAGATCATCCAGATAGCAAGAATCAGAAACAAAACTCAGAAGTTCTCTGACTCAAAATCCAATGTACTCTTCGCTTCATCACAGCTGAAGGTACAAAGCTATTTGTTCTTTACACTGTTAACATATACAGAGTCACAAAACTATAAAACAGTGATCTGGGGATTTTATTGGACTTCTAGCTCAATATGAGTAAAAAGTGTGATATTGAAGATAAAAAAGTTACTGTTATTCCAGGTTTCAATAAGAGAAGTCTTGAGGAAGTGAGGTAATAGTTCTGATGAAAATGTTCCATGGCTGTGCCACACCCAGAGTTCTATATTCAGTTCTACGGATCACATTTTAGGAAGGACATTAACAAGTTGAAGCATGTCCACAAGAGAGAAATCATGATGGTAAGAAGACTGGAGAACATGTCATATGAAAATTAATGGAAGGAACTAATGATGTTTAACCAGAAGAAAAAAAATTATAGAAGGGAACAGAATAGACATCTTCAGGTATCTGAAGTGTTGTCATGGAAAAGGAAAAGCCTTGTTCTGCTTAGTCCCGAAAAGAACAACTAGGAACAATAAAAAGAAAATGTAGAGAAGCAGATTTAGACTTGTGTAAAAAAAAAATTTTCCCCCAACAATTAGAACTACCTAAAAGTGGAATGGGTTACCTGGGGGGAAAGTTGGATTCCAAGTTGTCAGGAAGACCTGAGTTCAAATTGGTCTCAGACATCTTTCTAGACCTCACTCAAGGACTACTTTCAGCATTGTCTGGTAGTCAATTACTAATCTGCTTAGCTAATTAAACATGTAAAGCTGTAATTCTTTATTTTATCTTTTTGGAGACATTGATAAAAATTTACAAAATCTTACTCATCCTCTTGAACTTATAGTGTAGAGAAACTTTTCATACCTAGGTCGTTTTTAAACTAAAAAACAAATATTAATCAGCAGTTCATTTGTGTCCAACTCCACATGAACCCATGGACTTTGTCCATTGGCTTTTCTTGGCAAAGATACTGGAATGGTTTGCTATTTCTTTCTCCAGTGTGTCCTCATTTTATAGTTGAGGAACTGAGGCAAATAGGGGTTAAATGACTTGCTCAGGGTCACAGCTAGTATCTGAGACCATATTTGAACTCAGATTTTCCTAACTCCAGGCCCAGTGCTTTATCCATGGTACCACCCAGCTCTCCAATATTAATCAGTAAGAACTTAGATTTAGAGAAAGCATCACAAAACAACTCTCTAAAATTATTCGTATTTCAAGTTTCCTCTTAACTTATTGACATTTTTTGTTTTCAAAGTGAAAAAATAATTGGTAAGGGATAAAACTATTTTGAGAGTTAAACCCAATCTATTTTGTACAAAACAGTAACAAAAAAATGTGGAAATTTGCTTTGCAATGCTTTCAGAATTTGATGCTTAGAATCTTGTATTACTTGTAGTGGTAGTTAACTATTCTAAAGGTACAATAACAGATTATTGTTCATATCAGTGTATTAAAATGAAACACCCTGATCATACTTTTTCATTTTACACATTGTCAGAACCTTGGACCCTAATCTCTTTCTTTGATTGACAGTAGCGACCAGGAAAAGAACATTTGTATTGTTTGTGATAGTGGCATCTGTTCAACTTGATTCATTTGAGGGTATTTGCATATTCTTAAGTATTTCTTCTGAGAGGGCCTAAATCCTTCTCAAGTGTTTGATGCATTTTTGAAATTCATTCATAAGGTATCTACATGCACTAATACTTCTGTATAATATTGCCATGCATAATCTTGACAGATAAGGCTAGTTTTTTTAAACAAGGTATTCTTTGGGGATGTCACATTACATTCTGACTTATTCTGCTGGGCAGAAATGTCAAGTACTTTGGAAAAGGATGCTCAAATATTTTGATTAAATTAGTATTCCTCATTTGAGACAAGTTTGTCAACCACAATAAATGTACAAATTTTATTAAAAATAATTCAAAAGTATAGTTTCAGCTTTTTTATATCTTGAGTTACAAATCTAAGTTCTTTACATATTTGTTAAAGTATGAGATGTAATATAATATATTGTGTGTAAATTGTTTTAATTATTAAAAACTTGCCATGATACCACAATGAAATAAATATTGATGCTGATGTTTTTTTCTCCTAATTTTTAATATTTGCACTGGAAGCTTTTGAAAACTAAACCAAACTGCTACCATTTTTATTTCAAAACTTACCTGTTGATAATTTTTCAGAAACAAACAACAGGGTTATATCTAGTCTAAATCATTATCTTTTCCTTTTCTTGTACTCTTAGTCTTTTCATTCCCAGCCTTCCTCTTGATCCTCCATACTCTTCCCTTTGGGATCCTTGCTGTCTGCAATTCTATACTTGTTTCATTTGGAGATCAGAATTGTGGCCATGCCTAGAGCTTAATCAGAAATGGAACTCGAGACACAGCAATAACTTACCAACACCTTTTTTAAGTTACTATTATGTAGGACTTTGCTGAAAGAACAGTGTTTCCAACTTCTGCTTGGTTTAAGTAAGATAAAGTTTGTCAAAAAATTGTTCTTTTTGGCTGCTAATTAAATAAGATCAAATTGCATTACTATATTTATCTTTCAGGAATCTCCATCAGGACGTAGAAAAGCACTTGCTACTAGCAGCATCAATATGAAACAGTATGCAAGTCCTATGCCTACACAGACAGATGTCAAGTTAAAATTCAAGCCATTGTCTAAAAAAGTTGTATCTGCCACTCTTCAGTTCTCGTTATCTTGCATTTTTCTCCGTGAAGGAAAAGCCACGTAAGTTATTTTTCTATTAGATATTGTGCTTTAAATTTTCTTTCAAAGGAAGGACTGGGTAGTGAGTTGTTTTATACTATATGAGAACATCCTTCACCATATCATTCTTATCACACTTTGAGAATCTGAATGAAAGAGGGCGGAGCCAAGATGGCAGAGTAAAAGCAGTGACTTGCTTGAGCTCTCCCTCAAACCCCTCCAAATACCTGTAAAAAATGGCTCTAAACAAATTTTAGAGCAGCAGAACCCACAAAAAGACAGAGTGAAACAAATTTTCAGCCCAAGACAACTTGGATGGTTGATTGGAAAGGTTTATTGTGCCAGGCTGGGAAAGGAATGCAGTTCAGTGTGGGCACTCAGGCAAAGACCAGGCCTCAGTGAACTTGGAGCAGGCCTCAGGGGACTGAATCACCCAGTGAGAAGTGCTGCTGCAGCCCTGGGGCCATGGCTGCTTCTGGAGCTCTCAGCCCACAGACCAAGGGGGAATCTAGTGACTGATCAGAGGGGGATTGCAGAGATCTCTTTATTGGTGCTGAGGCAGGATTCTCTTGCTTTGTCTGTACTTGAATCTGAGTCACAGTTCTAAGTGGTGGTCCTGGGGTGAGAAGGAGTGCTGGCATGGTGGAGAGGGAATCTTCCTCACAGGTCCAAGGCAGAAAAGAGTGCTTGTGGTCACTCATAGACCAGAGCAAGGCCAGGAAAGGAGTAAACACCTCGCCCTTGATCATACTACCTTGAAAGAATGAAGAATTTACAGGTCCCTAGAAGTATCTCTGAAAACAGCTGCACAAAACCCCCAAAGCTTGGGACAGTACATTCTCCACACTGGAAGCAGACCCCTACCTTAACAAAGAGTTTAAAACTCAAGTAATTAGCTGGGATCATGAGCAAACTGTGCAAAAAAAGTCAGACCATAGAATCTTTCTTTAGTGACAAAGAAGATCAAAACATACAACCAGAAGAAGACAACAAAGTCAAAACTCCTACATTCAAAGCCTCCAAGAAAAATATGAATCAGTCCCAGGCCATGGAAGAGCTGAAAAAGAATTTTGAGAAGCAAGTAAGAGAAGTAGAGTAAAGACTGGGAAGAGAAATTAGAGTGATACAAGAAAATCATGAAAAACAAATCAACAGCTTGCTAACAGAGACCCAAAAAAATACTGAAGAAAATAACACCTTAAAAAAATAAACTAACTCAAATGGCAAAAGAGGTCCAAAAAGCCAATGAGGAGAAGAATGCCTTAAAATGCAGAATTGGCCAAATGGAAAAGGAAGCCCAGAAGCTCACTGAAGAAAATACTTCCTTAAAAATTAGAATGGAGCAGTTGGAAGCTAATGACTTTATGAGAAATCAAGACATTATAAAACAAAACCAAAAGAATGAAAAATTAGAAGACATTGTGAAATATCTCATTGGAAAAACAACTGACCTGGAAAATAGATCCAGGAACAGTAATTTAAAAATTATTGGACCATGTGAAAACCATGATCAAAAAAAGAACCTAGACATCATCTTTCAAGCAATTATCAAGGAAAACTGCCCTGATATTCTAGAACCAGAGGGCAACGTAGAAATTGAAAGAGAATCTGAATGAAATAAATTTTTTGTTATAATTATAGTCACTTATTTCAAGAAAATGAGCAGTAATACAAAAGTGAATATAAGTGGCATTAAATTTAAAAATTCACATTGTAAGGTGCCATTTGTGTTCTGTTGCCTTCAGGATCAAGTAGTCAGTCATTTTGTCATTCTGAAATATAGACTATTTAAGTTTGGTTAGCTATTTGAATCATCTTCTATAAGAAGCAATTCCCAGCCCTTTCAGCTGCTAGTGCCATCCTCATTCACATTACCTTCTATCTATTTTGTATGTCCTTAGTTATTTACATACATTCTTTTTTTTTACTTTTTTTTATTAATTTATTTTGCTTTATCAACAATCACTTCTATAAGCTTTTGAGTTTTAAATTTTCCTCCCCCTCCCTTCCCACCTCCTTCCCCAAGATGGTGCACAATCTGCACATATATATCACACATACATATACATTCCTATTAAACATGTTTTCACATTAGTGGTATTTTAAGTAAGAATTAGAACCAATGGAAGGAACCACCAGAAAGAGGAAACAAAACACAACAGAAGAAAAAAAATAGCAAATAGTATGCTTCAATCTGCATTCAAACTCCATAGTTCTTTGGATGTGGATAGCATTTTCTATCATGAGGCCTTTGGACATGTTTAGATCCTTGTATTGCTGAGAAGGATAAGTCTATCAATATTAGTCATTGCACAAATGTGGCTGTTACTGTGTACAGTGTTCTTCTGGTTCTGCTCACTTCACTCAGCATCAGACCATACAAGTCTTTCCAGGATTTCCATACATTCTTCCCCATCAGAATGTATGTTCTTTGAAGACAGGATCTGTTTTTTGCCTTATAATCCCTAACACTTACCAGAGTGCCTGGCACAGAAGAAGTGCTTAATAAATTCTTGTTGATTGACTGTTATGAAAAAGCCTTATATAAAAACAAAAAAGCTTATGGATAAAAAGAATGGATGCATAAGAGAAGAACTTTTAATGGTTTTTTACTCTGACTGAATTTTCCTAGAATTTTATCATTAGTCAACAAGCATTTATTAAGTGCTTACTATGTGCCAGACACCATGATAAAAGGTGGGGCAATTAATAGGTGATAGAAGCCACAGAAATGAATTGACTGATGCATAGTAAATAAATAAATTGTTCATATCATTGCTATCCTAAAGCATTATTTAAGCAACTAATTGTATGTGGTCCTATAATATTATACAGTTTTACAGAACTGCCTCTAGGAGATTTAAATTTAAGACAGGCAAAGTAATATGGACACACGTACCTAGAACACATAGATGACAGAAAAAGAACATTGAAGATAGTTGTATCATGTATATATAGGATAACAGTACATATCTTTTAGGATTTCACTATAAGGTTAATTATATAACTGGGGTGAGAGAAGGAAAGTAAGAATGAATTTTCTAACTGTACTTGAAAAAGCAAGAAGAAAAATACTACTGTCTTTCAAAGCAGATTCACATTGCATAATGTATTGAGTACAGTGGAAGAGAGAATAGTTACTGTTTATATTACTGTCTTGACCTGAATTTCAAATTCATCACATTTTGATGTTTGATACCAATTTACATAGCAACAAATTATTCAATTAAAAGCAACAAACAGAGATAGTTGACAGTAGTGATTCCCTCTTCAGGAAAGTTGAGAGCTAGTTTAATGAGATGAAATGATAGCCTGGAGAGGTACAGTTGAGGAATCCTTAGTGATCCATCCTAGAATACCAAGTCAGAGACCCAAACTAATTTTTCATCTGGCTCCACTACTTTGGAACTTCTCTGACTTCTCCACCATGCCCCAGGACTCTCATGATTGGGCTAAACCTCATCATCCTGTAACCTCATCAACTTTGATAACTCTACCTCATTACTGCCTGTACCTCACTGATTGGAGGGTAGGGCTATGAGCTTCAAATCAGACAAATCAGACATCTCTTCATTTGTCATTTGGAAGCACTACTTTGGGACTTTTTAACCATGCACCTGAATCAGGTGCATTTTCCCCATCCCCTGCTGTTCAGCTTCATTTTGTGTTTTATCTTCCCATATTAGATTGTGCCCTCCTTGAGAGCAGGGACTGTCTTTCTTTTTTAGTATTGTAACCCAAGTGCTTAGCATAATAGCACAGTTCCTGTCATATGCTGTTGTTATTTAGTTGTTTCAGACATTTAACACTTCGTGACCCAATTTGTAGTTTACTTGGCAAAGATAATGGAATGGTTTGCCATTTCCTTCTCCAGCTCATTTTATAGGTGAGGAAACTGAGGCAAACAAGGTTAAGTGCTTTGTCCAGGGTCACACAGTTAGTAAGTGTGAGGCTAGATTTGAACTCCAAAAGATATCTTCCTGACTTCAGGACTAGAACTCTTATCTTCTGAGCCACCTACCTACCTATCATAATAGTAGGTGCTTAATAAGTATTTATTGACAATTATTGACTCAGAAGTTTTATGAGTAAGAACATTATTAAGAACCCAAAATTGCAAGTAAAAACAATAAAAACAAAGGAAAGCAAATTTAGGAAGAAGTGATAAGACAACATTAATGGAAAACCCTTTTATTGAAATGTCTTTGTTGCTACAGGAAGTGCAAACTAATCAATAATATGTTCAGGAGCCTAGATGAGAGAAAATTCAGTCAAATCAGATGACCTGTGCTAATGAACCTGGAATTACTTTCATTTGAAAAAATAAAAACATTTAGCAGCTCCTTCCTACTCCTCACATACATTCACTTTCAGAATGTTCAAGTATCATGGTAATTTTCATTTATAAGCAAAAGTTATTTACCTATAGATGGAGTGTATGAAATAAGTCCAAAAATGGAATCACAAGGTCCTCTATGGGTAATGTCCACATGAATTCAGTCAGGAATATGTTTAAAAAAAGAAAAAATGGCTGAGTCATGTAGTTCTTTGGGGAAAAGAGTGGTTTAGAATGGCAATTTAGGACCAGGTTTTGCTACCAGGAATTAAAGAAGGTACCCACTCAGTAATCAATGTTGATGATACAGGGAAACAGTAGAATCTGTAGTATGTCACTATAGGCTATAAATATTTAACAACTATTAGATACCTAGCAAAACATGAACTGCTGGCTAGAATTATGCATCAGAAGGTTTCTATCTTTCATAGACTAATAACAACAAATTCCTGTACTACAAGTGTAAGCCTAAAAATATCTGGGAGAATACAACTAATAAACTTGACCATCATTATAGACTGAACTGTTATCACAGTTCATAATATTTATGCATAAAAATTTAAGAATGATATTTTTAGAGTTCTGGTGGCAGAGCCAAGATGGTAGAATAGAAGAAACACTTAGTCAAGCTCTCCCAATCCTTCCTTCAAAGCAACTTTAAAATGACACCTCAAATTGAACTCTG